GTAGAGAAGGAGTCTGTTTTCTATCTAATAGTGCTTAGGCAACTCTAATCTTTCTATTAGGAATAAGGACCTATTTTCTTAGAGAAGAGTTTTAATAAGTTCTAGGGATCTAAGAGTTATAGGGTTCTAAACTACTATAATTAAAGCAAGGATTAGTAAGGAACGCTTAGCTAGGTAGTCTTGCGCTAAGTTAGAGTTAATTTAGGGGTGTAACCTATCTAGGGTAATTATTACTTGTAAACAATTATCCCTTTAAGTAGTCTTAAGGTTAAATATATCCTATTCCCTTCTACTTAGGATATTAGCTTAGGTGTTATAAGATCTAGGAGTATACTTAATTTAGAAGTTAAAGGGACTTATAACCTCTAGCTATCTAGCTTGCCTAGCACTAAGGACTTTAGTAGATATAAAGTACTCTAGTGCTCTATAGTCTGTGTATACTCTAATAAGGTGCTAAGTACTTATTAGGTTAGCACGCTATTTCTTAAAGGCGTATATTATTATAAATAATTCTTTATTATAGATTTCCTAGTTAAGTTTAGAACTAGTAAGGGTCTAACTAAAGAAGGATACAGGGTACTATTTCCTATTAGGATGCTTCTATAAGAGGATAGCTATAATAACTCTATTAGAGGCGTCTGTCTCTAGTTTTAGAGGGTACTTAGGATAGAAGTAAGCTAAACTTAGGATTGCTAGTAGGGCATTCCTAAGCTAGTTAAAGGCTTATTAGCATTCTAAAGTCTATATAAATAGGGTAGCAGGGCTCTAGAGAGCGGTTAAGGGCTTAGCTATCTTAGAGAAGTTTTCCACAAATTGCTAGTAGAATCTAGTAAATCCTAGGAAGGACTTTACTCTAGTTATTGTCTTAGGAGTGGACTAGTTTTAGAGTACTTTAACTTTGTTAGGGTCTACCTCTAAGCCTTTGTTAGTTAGGATATATCTAAGGTAATAGGTATAGGTTGTATAGAATTTGCTTTTCTTAATATTAGCCTATAATATAGTAGAACAAAGATACTTAAGGACTTTTTAAATATAGTCCTTATAAGTAGCAAGGTTTTTAGAGTAGATAAGGATATTATCTAGATAGGCGATATAGAAGTTATCTAAATAATCTATTAGTATATTATTTATATAGCGCTAATAGGTTACAGGTCTATTATATAGCCTAAATAGTAGGACTTTATATTTATAGGCACTATACCTAGTATAGAAAGTAGTATACTTCTCTAAGTTAGGGTCTATTTAGATCTTATTAAAGGTAGCACAAATATCTAGCTTAGTAAAGATTTTTGCTTTAGCTAGCTAGGATAATAGATTATCTATATAGGGTATTAGATACGCGTCCTTTCGCGTTAAGCTGTTAAGCTTATAGTAATCTACACAGATCCTAAGGCCTCTATTTAGCTTCTTAACATATAGGATAGGAGAGGCAAATAGGCTCTAACTAGTCTTAATAAAACCTTTCTATAGGTGCTCTTGTATATATTCCTTAGTAGCCTAGAGTTCCTTAGTATTTTAATAATAGAGGGGAATCTAGTAGTTTAGAAGGGGTTCCTCTAGGACTATCTTATAGTTATAAGGCTAGTAGATTAAAAGTTTGTTAGCCTTAGCCTTATTAAAGACGTCCTAATAGGAGTTATAGTTAGATAGGAGCTTCTAATCTAATAAGCTGTAGTTAATAGTGTCCTATTTAGATAGGGTTTAGATCCTACGCTTAATCTTATACAGGCTAGTAGTAAAGAATTTATTAGAAGATTTTTTTATATTAAAATAGAAAGTATTAGCAGAAATAGTAGTAATTTAGAATTTTATAGGTAGGGTAATAGTTAGTAATTAGACTAGGGTAGGTAGCGTAATATATTTAGTAGTAGCCCTATAAGTAGCTAGAATTTTAAGTATACCACGTATCCTATTAATTAAACTAGGACTATTTTAGTTCTAGTTCTCTTCTTAATCCTAAAGGGCGTCTCTTTGCAAGATATTATAGGTAACTAGCGTAGATAGCACTTGCTAGTAGAGTTATACTAGAATAGGAGGTGCGGGGTTATAGGTTAGAGGATATTTCTCTAGCTAGATTAGTTAAGATTTATCTATATTAATTAGGATTTAGAACTATTTTAGCTATTATTATCTAATAATATAATCCTAAGAACCTAAGTCTACTATTATAAAGGGGCAGTTATAAACCTTTTAGCTACTAACTATTATATAAAGCTAAATATAGTAGGTAACTAGGGAAGTAATCTAATCCTAGAACCCTTTAATAGTAAGCTTATATAGTAGCTTTTAGATAGGTACCTTAAGTATAGAAGAGATATTATAGGTAATTTTTAAATTAAGAAATAAGTAACCTTAGGCCCTAGTATCTACTAAAGCGTTTAGGCAAATACTAGATCTATTAAGGTATAGGGTTGTACGTGTAAGTAAATAGGAACTAATAAATAATTTAGTTAAGGAAAGGTTTAATAGGTTATATTAAGTTAGGCCTAGGAAGGAGGATCCTCCTAGGCGTTATTATTTCCTATCTAATAGCTATCTAAATTAGTTAATTTAGCAGTTTCTTCTTCCTTAGAATTCTTAATAACCTATTCTATATCTATAGCCTAAATCCTAGGGGGTTTAGGGCAGTTACTAGAGAAGTGCCTAGGCTTTCTATAATTATAGCAAGTTACTAGGGTTCCTGTTATAGTAGCGCTAGGAGTAGCTAGCGTAGTAGATAGGGGTTAATTATTTTATAGGGTAGTGCCTTATTATTATAAGTAGGGTATATAAGGTCTAGCTATTAAAGGTCTATTATAGGGTTTCTAATTAGCGTCTAAATAGGACTAGTTTCTAGAGTGTTAGAAGGGGGTTAGTGCTTTTCTAGATAATAGAGTAGTCTAGGTAAGAGTAGATAAGGTAGGGTATAGGCAGCGTTCTATATTAAAAGTAGTAAGATAATCTACTATAGTCTTAAAATTATTATACTAATTCTATTAGAAAGTAAGGTTTAGTATCCTTAGGGAAGGTGTAATCTTTATCTAGAGGTAGTAATACTACTCTAATTAGGGTACTTCTCCTCTAATAGCAAGACTCTAGAATTATAACTTAAAAGCAGGGAATGTCTCTATATTAGTTATATATAGGCAGTTAAATATAGTCTAACTCTTAGCTATCTTATTTCTAGTAATAAAGTAAGTTTAAAGGAGAGTAATTATTTCCTTAGCTTTTTAGAATTAAAGACTTAGGGAATTAGATAAGTAACGTGGCTCTAAGTATTCTCTTGCTAGTCCTAAGTAGTGTCCCTAGACTAACGCTATCTAAGCTCTAGAAGAGGGGTAGTAATTAGTGTTAATCTCTAGCCTATCCTAAATAGATGCTTGCTATTATCTAAAAGTAGGATTAGCACTATTACTAAGTATAGAGATATTTAGTATCTTTTTAGATTATCTCTTAGCTTTTATAGTATATACTATAGGGTTTAATATAGAAGCTAAAGACTAGCTAGGTTAGGTAGTACCCTATATCTTCTTATAGAGGGAGGTGTTATATAACTAATTAGTAAGTTACTTAACTTGTTCCTCTAACCTCTCCTTTTTAGATAGGGTTAATATATATTTATCTTTAAGGGAGGTGTTATTTTAAGATTTCCTAGGAGCACAAGGTACCTTAAGAGATAGATAGAAAGCAGGTCCTTCTAGGAGGGCGTTATTAATTAAGTCTTCCTTATCTAATTTCTTTCTATTAGTAAATAGGCTTTTAAAAGTAGCTAAACTAGATACCCTTCTTTTGCCTTTATCTAATATTTTATAGTTAATAAGAATAATAAATCTTTTCTTTAGGGGGGGTTTAGTTATAGGAGGATATTAGCTTTGCCTCTAATTCCTCTAGGCTTTTAGTAGTCTCTAGGTCTCTACCTTAACGCAATTTAACGCGATTTTTCTAAAGGTAATCTAGCACTACCTATAGGTCTAGAAGTCTAAGCTTATAGGCTTTAGTTATTAGAAGTTCTAATAGCTATTCTAACTATAGAGTTATAGGGTTAGATAGCTACTAGAACTAAATTAGTAGCTTAAAATAATAACAAGTATAATATTCTTAAATACTATTACTAGCTAGGATAATATTCTTCTTATAATATAACAACTTAGGTAGGTAGGGCATCTAAAAGGTATCCTATATAACTTAAAGGTATATAGGAGTGCGCGTCTGTATAGAAAAGGATAAGATTCCTACACCTATAGGTCTTGTATAAAAGGATAAGAAGAATATGCCTATCCTAACTATAGGCGAGCTGTTCTCTATATATATTAGTAAGTTAGGCCTTTATTAGGCCTAACTTGGCATAGAACAATAGGTAGGCAATTCTGCCCTATTGTTACACTACTAACCCTATTACCCTTAAGTAAACCCTCTATCTATATTAAGACCTCTATATTACTCTATTAGTAATAGAAATAATTTTAATAAATGCTAGACCCTTAAATAATAGTCTATGCAAGAAGAATTCTTTACTAAAGGTAGGACTTTTATAAGGAAATAGGTGGTAGGGGTTATAGGAGATAGGTTCTAGGTCTAGGTTTGTAGAAAATAGGTTTTAGGTAGGGGTCGCAGGAAATAGGTTTTAGGTAGTAGGGGTTACAGGAAATAGGTTCTAGGTCTAGGTTTGCAGAAAATAGGTTTTAGGTCTAGGTTTACAGGAAACAGGTTTTAGGTCTAGGTTTGCAGGAAACAGGTTCTAGGTCTAGGTTTACAGGAAACAGGTTTTAGGCAGGGGTTGCAGGAAACAAATTTTAGGTCTAGGTTTGCAGGAAATAGGTTTTAGGTTTTAATTTTCCTCGCATAGTTATTTCCTGCCGCACGCTAGTAACGCACAGTCCTCTTTAGAGTTGTTTCCTAGCAGGAAACAACTTTCCCACAATATGTAGATCCTTGTAGGAATATATATAATATAACATTCTATTTTATTCTTTGTGAGATAGGTTATCTAGTTCCATCTAATAGATTTCTAACTGCATTTCCTATCCTCTGAGGGGCGCAAAATCTTGCACCAATTGCGGGGACATCCATGAGCCAATGTAAACGGTCTTTCCCAAGCTGAAACCCTTGCTCCTAAGCAGCATGTACATAGCGCTGACATGGAAGTAGCTGTTCGGCATGACGAAGCTGTGGAAATAGTCGGCAAGACCGGTCAGGTTGAGTGTCTTGTTTGGGCCATCGAGGAAGATGCTGCAACTCTTCTCCGCGCTGGCGTTGAATGCTTTTTCATCAATGGCATCCAGGGCAGCTCCCACCTTTTTGCAAAAATCGATGACCTCGTCAAACGAGGTGAACGATGGGATCATGGGTGGGAATGCGACGGAGCCAGTGAGTTTGGTGTCATCCAGTGCGAGGCTTGCAAATTTCGCCATGAAAATGGGTTGCATTCGGAAAGGAAGCATGGTGCCAAAGTGTGAGTCGAGGACTTCTAGCTCTGTTGGGAGGGTGCCATTGGCTGCGGTGGAGAGTTCCGTCTTTGCGGACGTCAATATGCTGATTGCACTTTGCGTAACTTTTTTCAAGGCCGGAATGGTAGTTCCGTAAAAGGAATATGTCATTGGGTCCGACATGGTGAGGGGTGGCTTTTTAAGTCTGGGGTTGGGTGTTTGAGTAGATTCGACGGTGGTAGAATAATTGAGGACTGGTATTGGTATATAGTTGAGACCTTCACGGTGAACCGAAGTCTATATGTAGCTATTGAAGATTGTTCTCGTCTACTAGTCACAGTCCAAAAATCCGCTTGTTTTTTGTGCTTGATTGGCCAGAGCAGGACTCGTCAATGCACTCGCCCGCTGAATAATGCCGAGAGTCCAGATGCCGGATCGGCCCATCCACCTGCTTCCAGTCCTCAACACCAAACATCAGTGACACGTTGTCGTTTAACTGGCACGCTTTTAGCAAATACGAAAAATTGTTTAAGCCCTATTCACTTCCTTATGCTTCTAATGACGATCATTCAGACTCAAACTATACTTTTCTACTATTCCTAGTGTCAATGCTGTCCTTGGACGATGTGCTTAGCACAATTGGCCTCACGTATGATGACTGAACACATTTGCTTTCAATGTACGTCTTGGCCAACAAAATCTTTTCATGCAGGAGAATGCATGTCTCATCTTGCCTCAAATCCAGATCATCATGTCACTCGTCCTCACTCGCAACTGTGGCAGATTTCACCAAACACTTGTATCGAACATGTGACTGACGCTAGGCATGAGCTATCGATCGTGACGCAGTAACTGATTCATCGTCTCTATGCACCGTCATTCAAAAATGCACACCGTCCTCTTTTGTTTCCAGTAAGTGAGGGCATGAATCATTTCGTATTTGTCAACATGAGATCCCAGTACGTGCATGATGCTTTTCGAACGTCGAATTCCCTGTCCGTCACGCACCGGATAAATTCTTGAGACTACTACACTGTTAGTGCCTCAATTCTCGAGGCTGCTATAGCTTCATGGTGGGGACATGATCATGCAGTACTTAGTCTACCGCAGACCCTCAGTCAAGCTATTCACATGCTGTCGGAATAGAGTGAATGATTTCTTGACTTAGGTCAGGCGCCAACTTGTTATGTATTTTCGGTGGTACCGGTAAAGCATGCTGTATCTTTTAGTACATGGGTCATTCTAGAAGCTACAGTATGTAGGGCACATCTCCACGAATGCAGTGCACTTCTTTCTCGATGGTACTACAGTCCCTATTCACGGCGAGCTATTGGCGTTGGAAGAATTCGGTTCGGCAATACTCGGTGTAATAGGTACGGGGACTAACTTGGCGTGCGGAGCCTCCGCAGCATGGTATGTGGTACATCCGAAACTGTGATTATCGTTAGTAGGAAAAGTCAAAAGTCCTTGCTAGGAATGACTAGAAGCTGGAACCCGGAACACTCTTACAACAGGTATACTCGTAGAGTTGTAGGAGCCATGTGGTTCTGTCTGGGTCCGGAATGGAAGATCATTGTCCCATTTACGACGTTCGTGCGTCCCGAGGTCGCTTCCATGGTTCGTCCTGGCTGGGTCCCGTACCGTGTCGTGTTTCCTTGGCTGTGGCATCCCGCTGTGGAGCCGCGCGACATGTGCTTACCAAGCTCCATGAACAGATCCGAGATATTCAGACTCGGGTACAACAGATAGAACCCGATACGAATCTAAACGGGTGAGGCTGTCGTCCAGTCTATCGGTTCTAGAATTCTAAAGAGGTTCTGGTATTCCTACTATAGTGGGCCGTTGTTGCAAGGGCAGCATTGCTAACAAGGTCGCTGAGGACACGCGGTAGTGCAGTGCTGATGCCGGTCTGGCAAAGGGAACTAGAAAGCGTCCGACATCGATTGTGTCTGAAGAATACGTCATGGCAGCTGTGCACTTGTGTCGCCTGCCGTCTTCCGGATCATTCGAAGCCCACCAAACTTCCAAAAAAAAACATACAACAGCGAGGATTCGCCAGTGGTCACCCACCTGACTACTAATTCGCCGGTACATTGCTTTAGTACAGCTGAGCGGACGGGAAGCTCTATTTTCAATGTCCTATGGTCGTATGTGAAGGAGAGTTGGAAAGTGAAGCTATAAATCTCAGAAACCATTGATGCCATTGATCGCGCACAGCACATTACAAGTCCATCACAATCTCAAACCACCGTCCCATTGCCTGCCCTTCTAAACAAGAAACTAATCATACCCCGACCAGGCACACTCGCACTCGCCGTCCCATCGCCCCCCACCGTCACCGTCGTTGCAACCATGTCATGGGTGTTGTCCGTATACCACGCCTTAGCACTTCCATATCCTGCCACCACAACACCAAGATTTTGCGCAGCACCTGCAGAGTTGATAATCACAACCGCAACTCCGCCATCCTCATTCACAAACGCCGCACTCTTGACATTGCCCCCGCCAGTAACCGCGACTCTGACAGCCCTCGGCCTAACAACCCGCCACTGCGCAAATGCCCATAGACGCTTGCTGACCTGGTAGGTCTGCCCGTCCACGAGTATGAGTTTCTCGTTGTTATTGTTGTTCGTTGCGCGGTCTTGCACGCCTTCCCAGAAGATGTAGGCGCTGAGATTCGCATTGACAACGCCGTTAAAGATGTTGTTGGCCCAGGTGAATCCGTCGCCGGCGCCGCCGTTGGAGTACCATGACGTGCTCCAGCGACCACTGAGGTCTGAGTACTCTGTTTGCCAGACGCGTGCGGCGGTGCGGAGCGGAGTTGTGATGCGCGATGTATATTCATGACTTGTGAGGGCGTAGAGCATGGGCTCTGCGCCAGAGCCAGCGATTTGAGAGGCGTGTTGAGAGGCGACGGTCCAGCCAGTGGCTTCGCAGCAGTTTATGCCTACGTTGGAGAGGTTGTGACGGTCTAGTGTTGGGCGGAGGATTTTGATGAATTCGGCGGCTTGTGTGCCAGAGGATAGCATGGAGGCATACGAGGTGGAGAAGTCGGGTTCGTTAAGGAAGCCAAGGTGTGTAATAATAATGCCAGCAGAGGCGTAGAAATTGACGTATGCGACGAGGTAGTTTGCATAGGCTTGGAGCCAGAGGCCTGTGCGGCAGTTTGTGCCTGAGACCTAGGGGGTTGTTCGTATTAGTCAAACACTGTACGAGATGGGAGAAGTAGGAGATGAATCTGTACTCCACAGAGTTGTCCGCCATTTGTATCCTGCCCATTCGTCTTCATACATCCTGGTGCACTCCATGCGTTCGCATAGAACGTCTGAACACCGTACTCCTTTGCTCTCTGACTCAGGAACAACTGTCCGCTATCCTTACCATCCCATACATAACCACCATAATCCACTGTCACTTCAGCAGCCGTACTTGGGCACTTAGGCAAGATGGTGTTCATGTAGTCGCTATTGCTGTTAGGGGTCGACCCAATGCCATTGCGAAGGATCGAAAGGCCCGCCCCAGATGTTGTGTTAAAGAGTAAGTCAAGGACTTCGCGCTGCTTTGGCGCTTGTAGGTTGACGATGAGATTGGCGCGTTGAAAAGCGGCGGACACTCCGAACCCATCAATGGTTTGATAGCCTTTGGTGAGGTCGACGATGATATTTTGTTGGGTTTGGCGAGTATGAAGGGATGATACGGCAGTAGTCGTGAGTAGTATTGTAGCAAGAGCTGCGAGCACACTGAAACTAATTTGGAAACTCATCATGGAGGTCTTTTTGAAGCTATGTGTTTTGACTTGAATGTGCTGTTCCATGCTGCCATATATGTCAAAAACGCCTGCAGATGAGGCCTATAATTAATCTGCAAAACCGCAATCTACCGTTACAACTTTCAAATTATACGCTCCTGCGTACCAGAGAAACGAAGCAACAGCTTGGCACTTTGCTCTCATGATGTAGCAATATAATATTGTTACGTTTGAAAGTGCCAAAAATATTGACCCATAGTTCCGTTGCGCCGGGTGACCTAAGTTGGCAGCTGCAGATTTAGCCGAAGCCATGACTTCTTTGAGAACACATCAGCTGTCTAATATGTAGATGTTTTCGACAGAATGTCCTGTGTGTTTTCGTTGGTATGACTGGGTATAGGCTTCGGCAAGTGGCAGTTGCAAGGTGCAAAGGTGTCCTTGAGATGATCATGCAGATTGTAATAGAGGTAAGGTAGAACAGGACTAGAGGGTATGTAGAGAGCATGAAATCGAGGACGTTAGTCAAAATGTCATAGCCTACCTCATACAGTCCAGCGATTGATCAAATGGAGTGCTGTCAGACTGCCAAGTTTCCAGAGGTACATGATTAGTGCTGTTGTTAGCCACGGAAAGCCATACTGGCAGATCCTAGCGTCGGTCGATGAGCTATGCAAAACCTTTTATTAACATGAGTCCGTATGTAACGTACAAAGATGCTACTAACCTCAGGAGTTGCCATACCAGGTTCCGAACTCTTCGAAGCAGCTCTTTAAGACCCGAACTAAGTTAGTCAGTCCTACAACAGGCGTACACCAGCAGTCTTGTTCTTTTTCGCCTGGTTACTCAATGCGTTACCCAAACCACCACCACCCGACTTGCCTGCTTCTAGACTGCTCTCCGCCATCTTCTTCTTCTCCGCCGCAACTTTATCAAGATACTTCTTCGTCTTGGTATTCCCACTACCCTTCCCATGAAACTGGTGACTCAATTGTTTAAACGCCTCTTTCTGATTCATCTGTCGTCCATGTTCATCCACGTAGCTAAGTTCCACGTTAGGCTTGTACTCTTTGTTGAAAATCTCAGCTAGCTTCCGACTCTCAGACATGTCAGCGGTTGTGTTTTGCTTGCGGGCCCATTCTTCGCGTTCACGAGGTGTCATGGTGTTCCAGCGTGAGGAGGCACGCTCGCGTTCACGTGCAAGCTTGCGTTGGCGTTCAGCTTCGGCTTCAGCCTTCTGCTTGTCGGCCAGAAACTTCTGGCGGTCGCGGTAGTGGGCGTTCTTATCCCCAGCGTCAGTAGTGGTGACGAGACCTCGTTGCTTAAGGAGTGCGAGAGTAGCGCCAAGACCTTGGTCAACGGTCTTCTCAGCTTCAAGGCCTGTTTCGGTAATCTCGGTAGAGCGAGCACGAGATACGCTACGGGTACTGGCTCGAGCATGGGCGTCTTGAGCTTCGGCGGCTTCAGCATAAGACTGTGACATATCCACATCACCATCTAAGTCTTGATGGGAAATATCGCCCATAGACTTGGTACCTGAAGACATGTGACTTGACTTTCTGCGCTTCCGTCGTGCCTCTTCTTCAGCAACCTCTTCAGCGTTAGCACCCAGATTCGCCACGAACTCGGTAGTCTCGTCAATGATTAGAGCAGGTTCTTCAAGTCCTTCGGTCGATTCCATGACATCTTCAGGCAGTACAGACGCCTCTCGTATCTGTCTAGCAATATCTTCCGGCTTCATCTTTTTGCGTTTCTTGAGAGCCTTTTGCCGCTGAGCTGCGAGATTAGCCTGTAGATCGTCGTCGTCGACGAATGACTCGTCGAAGATGCTTTTCTTCTTTGGCTTTGGTGCAGCCAGCTCCCCTCGGTCTATTTCCATGTCGTCCGCGGGCACCTCGGCGGGCATAGTAAACATGTCTTCTTCATCTTCAATACGCTCGCGCTTGGCCTTCTTGCTCTTCTTCTTTCTTGGCTTCTTCATTTTAACTTCTGTAACATCCATGTAGTCGTTGGCGGGCGCATCGTCTTTCAGGATGTCGAGGCTGATGGCCACCTTCTTTGGTTTTGATGCACCAGCAGCATCTGTCTGCGCTTCTTCCACTGTCCGACCTTGGCCATCAAGTGTGAAAGCCTTGCTCTTCTTGCCGTCAATCTCCTCGTCGTACTGCGCCAGAATTGACTTTTGGCCTGACTCGTCCATATCGTTGGGATCGTACGCGCGCTTTCGTTTCTTCAAGTCCAGTCGTTCTTGTAGTCTTTCCTTTTCTCTCAGTGACACTGCTTCAAGCTCGTCGTCGTCTTCAGCATCCACAGCAGTATCTTTCAGGACCAGGATTTGATCCTCATCATCGAATTGATTGATTTCATGAGCGACCTTGACACCCGCGAGGTCAGCCTCGGTGTATTGCATGGCCTCGCGTTCCTGGCGCTCGCGCTCTTCAAGCTCTCGCTGCATCTGCTCCGCCTTGGCGATCTTCTTTTGGCGCTTCTTGCTGCTCTTCAGCCAAGCCATGTCGTCGTCCTCCATAGCTTCATCTGCCAGACCCTTGCCCTCGAGCTTTGCGAAACGCGCTGCCCGTTCACGCTCCTTCTTGATAGCAGCCGCGCGCTCCTCTCGTTTCTTCTTAGCCTCGGCCTCGTCTTGCAGCTTCTTCCAGTTGTCGTACCCGGCAGCCTCACGCGTCTCAATGGTGCTGGCAGGCTCATCATCTGAGTCGTCGCCCGCGGTCGGCGGCTTGAAGGCGGGTCCAGAGGCGGCGGTGGCGGTGGTAGTGCTCGAACCTGGTAGAGCAGGCAAGCCCATGGACAGGCGGATCTTGTTCGCCTCCTCAATCGAGAGGTCCGGCATGATGGTGATCTTGGGCAGGCAGGCAGTAGGGGTGGTGATGATGGCGATGGTGGTGATGTTGGTGGTACCTATTGTCGTTCGTGTGCGGCGGAGGTATCAACTTCGCGACTGCAAGGTTGCCCACCCGCGGGCGTCAGGCAGACACAGTCGCGCCAAGGCCACTAGCGCGCCGAAGATTTCCCGTCGCATACAAAAAAAGTTTAGACGGCCTCATCCTCTCTTCTCTCACAAACAAACGACCTGTGCCAGCTGTCCCATTCCATGTCTTTGGGCGTGTGTTACGGTTGATGGCTGGCAGTTCGTCCGTCTCACGGAGCCTTTTCTTCTTCCTCATGGATGGGCTTCGGACGACAGGTCGCAGAGCAAGTTGGCGCCAGGTTGGAAGCCTGAGATCACCGCAAGGTTGGAGCTCGGTGGAAGACGTGGTGCCTGGCCAACTAATTCCTGTTCCCTTATGCTAGGCCGTCGGCTCTTGATGCTTGGGACAAACCTAGTCGGCTACAATTCACACCTTTTCATTGCGTTGCGGTACTCTACCCTCGGGTGCCCTGGGCTAGGAAGAGAGAGGTCATGGTGCGGTCACAATACGTTGGTTTAGGGGGTGTTTCTTCTTTGATATCGTCTCAGGGAGGCGGGTGTGAGCTCTACAGCAGCTTCAGGTGGCCGGTGACCTGATCTATGACTCCCTTGGGCGCAGGTCCGATGCCCAGCACGGTCGCGCTGCCACTGGCAATCTGCGTCCGTCCAGCGTCGTGGATGATATGTGCTACCAGTCCCAGACTCAGTGCTTGCGCCTGCAACAATTCGAGTTCCTCCTCGCTCCTGACCTGCAGCGCCACCTTGGCCTGTCCCATGTATTCCCATCGCTTCAATAGGGGTGAGCCGGGTGCCTGTTTTAGAAACTGCTTGTAGCAAGCCAGTACTGCATGTCCGCACTGGGCGCCAATCTTGCCTGAAAAAATATCAATTGGTTAGCTGCTTTCCAATGTGCGTGTGAAGTGTGTGAAGCGTGTGAAGAGTATGAGTGTGAAGAGTGTGACGAGTGTGACGAGTGTGACGAGGAAAGGCGCACCCTTAGTCATGCCCAAGTCTGTCCTCACAACCAAGACCATCTTACACTCCTCCTTGTGGTCTGGAAACTCTGATGGCACGCTGTCGTCCTCGTCCTCGTCCTCGTCCTCATCCTCATCCTCATCCTCATCCTCATCCTCGCTCGACTCTTCGCCGTCTTCCGAGTCCTTTGCCTTTGCCTTTGCCTTCATCTTCTTCTTCTTGTTGTCTGTTGGTGCCTTTGATATGGGGCTGCCACCAAAGAGGCCCAGTGATTTCGCTTGACCAAGCATGTAACCTGTTACACCTGCTATTATAGCGCATGCGACTGCAATGTTAGCCGTCGAAGGCTGTTGTGCTTCCTGCATTGTGGGCGTGGAGAATCGATATCGAACTCGTCGTCTTCGCTATTTTCGAATATTGTGCTGAGAGACTCTTCCGCCTAGATTTAGGTTCTCTCAAAAAGGATTATGGTAAAAGCATTTGCTCTGAAATCACCAAGCAGGTGCGCCCACACTGGCGAGGTTGCAGGTACTAGGTAGAAGGGTACGGTACGGTAGTTTAGCTTGGCCAAGACAATTTTCTTCGGACTTCCGTTCTGCTGCCTTTCTGCCACCACCAGCAACCAACAACACTACAGCCACATCTCGCGCCCCATGATGCCTCCACGCTGCCAATGGCTCGCTGGGCGTGTCCACACCTCTTCTCTGACTGTCCGGTCTGCACAATTGTCGCAACGCACCTACGCAACGACCAACTCAGAAGTACCCCCGCCTGTGGTCAAGAATCCTCTCCAGCGGCGAAAGGGTGGTGATCTGGGTTCTCATTTGCCCAAGGACATCATTCCACAAAACGTATCCATCCCCGCCTATCCCTATGGCGAATATCAGCTCTTCAGACAGGCCAATAAGGGCCTCTATGGCGATCAGATGATACAGTTTGGCAACAACGTGTCCAAGAAGACCGAGACCAAGACACGGCGTGTGTGGAGACCAAACGTACTATCCAAGAGTCTATACTCGGTAGTGTTGAAGAAGAAGATCAAGCTACGCGTCACTGCCAACGTGCTCAAGACGATAGACCGTGAGGGTGGATTAGACGAATACCTGCTCAAGGACAGCGAGCATCGAATCAAGGAGCTGGGCCCTATGGGATGGGCCCTACGCTGGACACTGATGCAGAGGCCCGAAGTCATTGCACGACTTCGCGCCGAAGCCGCCGCATTGGGCATCGACCAAGCCACCATCGACAAGCAATGGCCAACGCGCAAGATGATGTACGAACAGCGGAAAGCTGAAGGTCTTCCCACTGAAAAAGCCTCCACATACAATTTCGAGACAGATGTCTCCCGAGAGAGACAAGAACAAGGAATATGGGATCCAGAAGACGACTCCTTCCGTGCCAACCCGACATCTTCACCCGAGGAGAAACAGTTCGCCATCGACACCATGCGCGAATTCAACATGGCCGTTATCGCTGGGCAACGTTACCTGAGGCGCGGCGTCGTAGACAGCGAAGAAGAAGGCATCAAGCTAGCATTCGTTCGCGCAAAGGAGCGTGAGGATGCCACCAAAAAGCTGCAAGTACAGTATGACACGGCACTGGCATCGATCCCTCTCGAGGAGCTCGAAGAGCTCAAATCACGTCTCAAGCTCCCCGAAAACATCAAGGAGCGCAAACTCCGCAAGATTGCCTATAACCAGCGCCGACGCGCGCAAGTCGACCAGGTGGGCGGCTACGAGGCCTGGAAGGAGGCCAAGAAGGCAGAGTGGATGGCCTCAAAGGGCATTTCGCCTGACTCGGATCCCAGACCCATGGAGGAGAGGAAGGCAGAGTATGCAAAGCTTGTGGAGGAGGCGGAGACGGCCACGACAAACACGAGTTTGAGTAAAGAGAGGAGAAAGTTTTTCCAAGAAGCTATCAACAAGGCGAATATCGCCATCAAGGCCACGAGCGCGGGTGGCAAGTGGGATTATTTGGATGCTCTCATGAGGCAGAAGTTTCCTGATTCGATAGATGCCGCGACGCGAGGAAACAATCTTGGTGAGTTGACTCGAGGGGTTGGCGCGGATGGTTGGGGCGCCGTCGTGGACGCGAGTAATAAGTCTGAAGCCAGGCAGCCGAGCGCATAGAGAGATGGCTGGATTCGACATGACATGACATGTGTGTCGTTATTATAGGAATACCTCGTGATGCTTGCATGATGCCAAAGAGCATATCTGTTGGGCCACTTGTCACTTTGTACTTTATATCCACCCCTTGACCGCTTCTTACTACAAGAAGGAAGTGAGGACATGTCATTCCCATCTGATTTCAACTTCTCGAGCCTTTGATCTATATTCCTTATTTCTTCAAGCAAACCGTCCACTAAGGCGACCTGATTGGGAGCCCATCAGCAGGTGGTTTACTCAACCCATAGCACCCGCCACATAGATATCAACGTAGAGATCCATATCCCATATTCGCCGCCCGGGAAACCCACAGAACACTTCAACCCGATTTCCAAAAGAAAATCATGACCCAAACACTCCATCCACGACTCTACAGCCTCCAAGTCACATCAACTCGTGGCCCTAACCCCGCAAAAGTCCATGGAGTAGCTATAGTACTTGGTCTACCTACCCTTGTCAAACATTCATGCTTATACCCATAAACTTGATTATTACATGTACATACGACAAACACGACTCATCATTCCTTCATCGTACCATATACCCTTACTCCATAGCCCATCCAAGTATCACACTTCCTCTACAATCGACTATCTACTTTCTGCAGTCCTCGACGACTTTTGATTTCATGACCTCAGAGTGTATTAGTCGCCATGTAACTCACAATTTATATAAGAAATGATATCGGTGGGCTTGAAGTGGACTGAAGGGCGTGGGAAGTGGGCAAGAGGAATCTCGAGCTCTTGGATATTTGCTGTGGGTGAGCATGCGGGTGTGATGTTGCATGTGTTGTGTAGGACTGTTGTGGTGGAAAAAGCAATGAAGATTTATCCCGAGATGATGGTAGTAACTGTACAACAGCCAGCGGTTGAGCTGGTAAGATACACTGAAGGAAGTGATAGATCGGAGATGGTGTTTATGTTTTCGTGTCATGGATGAATGGGTGGTATGAGTCAACATACACGTACATCTAAAAGGTCCGCAGATTGGGATCAACCAGCGCTTCATCATCATACATCTATCCGGTTTGATTCGATCCGTTCCAAAGCAAGGCAAGGCAAGCTAGGTAAACTCTTAGAGTCATAATGTCTTCATTCCGTGCAAAAGAATACTCTAAACGTCTGTCAAATGCACACGTACTCCGCGCTTCCCCCTCACAGACCACGCTTGAGACATCCCAACACTCGTCCACAAGCCCCAAACAGGAATCGTTCTTTTCTGCCATAGGCCCTCTATGCCACATAAAAGCGCACGCCCGCATTTGTGATGTAATGTACAAGAAAAGATTATGTAACCAGCGTGCGAGCTGGTAAATGAGATCAAGGACGAGAAGCAACAAGTTGCATATGCGCCGGAATGCCGTAAGAAAAATTTGGAACCGCAAAACAAAGATCAAATAGCCCCACCCAAGCTTCAAGGGGTAATCAAAGCATGTGACGAAACGCCAGAGGAGATTGAGATTGACATCAGAATGATGAAGAGGGGGAACGGACGAAGAACGCCGGCACTGTACAATGGAAACATGCCAGGAAGATTGCAGGGGCCTGAAAGACGTCCATAAAAGGTGTCCGAAGACCAACGGGAGCAAATCCAAGACGAAGACCGGCTAGTTGCCACCCTTCATTCTCTTCCCACCACCGACCCTAGGACTTTGCTTGACTTTGGGGCCGCCATTCATGTCGCTGTCATCCACTTCAATCTTTGCTGTACTCCGCCGCCGCTTGTTATTCATATTTGGGGACGTGTTGACGCTCGCCGTGTGCGAACTTGTGCTGTGCTGTTTGACCATGGGATGCGAGGCGGGCGATGGCGTCTGCATCATGCTTGGCGAGCCGTTCATGCCGCCATTGGGTAGCAGCGAATTGGCCATGGCGGGGGACATGAACATCTGACCAGTCTGGCCAGGCCGTGCGCCAGGAGGCATGTTTGGCTGCTGCATGCCTTGATTTGCTTGCCCTTGCGCGTTATTTGCCATGGCGTCCTTATTGGACATCATCACGTTCCAATTCTCGAGAGCCTCTGTCGGCTTCATATTTGGATGCTCGAGATAATGAGCTACCAAGCTGGTCATATTGTTCATTGTCTCATAAATCTACCATTGTCAGTGTCAACCCCTATGAAAAGCCGACAGGAATGGAAATACCTCGAGATAGCCTTGTAGAGCATGCGGTAGGCCGTAGTCTGTTGTACCAGCGCTGGGTAGCTTGGACATCGGCAGATAGGGTTCTGGGGGGCCTTCGGCCGCTCGCTGCTGCTGTTTGTTCTTTGCGGCCTTGCTCATGCGCGGAGATTGGTTGGGGTTCATCTGATTCGGCGAAGGCTGGTGGAACAGTTGCTCGAGCGCAGCACGCGGCAGATATTGCTCATGGCCATGGCCCTCAAATTGAAGCCACTCCATCTTGTCAGAGCCAGACCAGAAGGCTGTCAGCTTGCCATGGTAAATCACCTGGCAGCGATTTCTGTATGTGTAGATGAACTTTGCCCGGTCGCAGGTAACCTTGAGCTCGGGCGGCGATGTTTTCTCAGTCGCACCGTCCAGCATAATCTGAAGGTTCGTGACATCGGTATTGAACAGAGTGTAGAAGTACCGTGGGAGCGCGGCATACACAATCTCAAACTGCTTGCTTCTTTCCCCTCCTCCCCAGGAGACCACATGTATAAACGAACCCGTCTCACTGAAGAATTTGTCGACGAACGCTTGCCACCTCTCCACCTTGTTGCCACTGTTTCGATCTTCGTTTGTGAACTTGCCAATTTGATCGACAAAATTCATCAGCTTCAAGGTACCCTGTCCCCCAGACTGAGATTGAGCTTGTTGCTGCTGGGCTTGCTGTTGCTGGGCTTGCTGTTGCATCCGTAACGTCGCCATGTTCCTTTGCTGCTGTGCTGCGGCATTGGCTTGCGCCTGAGCTTGCGCCTGAGCCGATGCTTGTACTGGCTGCGTCATACCTGCGTTCCGCTGTTGCATCTGTTGACCCTGAGCTTGTGCATTAGATTGCTGGGGCAGGTTCGGTGGTTGAGCAGGAGCAGGAGTCTGTTGCTGCTGAACAGCAGGGCCTGATTGCTGCTGCTGTTGCTGTTGCTGTTGCTGCTGCTGCTGTAGAGGTTGCTGAGTCTGAGGCGGAGGCTGAGGTTGTTGCTGAGGTGTAGGCTGTGGTGCGGGCGATGACTGTCCTTGATGACTACCTATGGCCGAGGGTGGACGAAGCGGACCTTGTTGGGCTTGTGTTGTGGGCGCCGGCCCTTGATTACCGGTCTGGCTGTGGTTACTGGATTGCGACTGAGCGTGTTGCATGGCGATGGTGTGTTGTTGTTGTTGTTGTTGCTGCTGCTGCTGTTGTTGTTGCTGGAGCTGCTGAGCTTGATGTTGCTGTTGCTGAGCATGATGCTGGGCTTGTGCCTGTGCCATGGCGGCAGCTTGTTGAGGTCCGCCTTGCTGTGCGTTCTGCATTTGCTGTTGGTTTTGCATTTGTTGTTGGAGGTGTGGTGGGAGATTGATGAAAGCGGGCTGTCCCATCTGTCCTGCCTGAGCTCTTAATGCTGCCATTTGCTGCTGTTGGCTCATGTTTGCCATTTGGTTTTGAAAGTTCATGCCCATGCCGCCAGATTGTTGGAGCATTTGCTGGTGCTGCTGCTGACGCAGAAAGGCTTGTTGCTGGGCGGTCCGCTGCTGCTGCTGTTGCTGCTGCATCATGGGGTTAGGGTTCACTGCGAAGTGGATTAGCCGATGCTCGTGACTCGCCCGTGACTGGACTTACTCATCTGTTGTTGCTGATGTTGCTGGAACATGTGCGCCTGCTGAGGCTGGAGGTGAAGGTTGGCGTGCGCATTCGGGCCCATGCCCGGCTGCATGCCCATCATGGGCCCCGCTTGGCTCATAGGTCCATTCGGGCCTGAGACATGTTGCATACCGGGAGGCATTGGCTGGCCCGGGTTTGGACCTTGACCTCCCATGGGGTGACCATGCGGCATGCCTTGAGGGTGCATGCCAGCACTGTGTGGATAGCTGGTGGTCATCATCTTGCTCGCACTTCCGGCCGGAGGAGGGTGTCGCGTTCAGGGTGCGAAAAAGGGCCGTAGTGGGCGAGATGTGATTGGTGTAGGAGGTAGGCAGTGTCTGCGCGACGTGGAAGGCACGACGGCAGAGGCAGATGGGGAAGAGGAAGGCGCGCAAAGACGGCCAAAGTGCGTTTCGGTGCAGCTTTCGCTATGACTCTCGCTGTTGCTGTCGCTGTCGCAAGCAGGGCATGCGCTGAGGGTAGTCGGTCGCGTCAAATGGCAAAAAAGGTCGTGTGTCAATGTCTCAGATGGAGGGTGCGACGATGCGGCGGAGACGGCGTCGAGGTCACGGCCCGTCCAGTCGAGCTCTGTCGCTGTTTGGTGATGAGCGTGCCGGCGAGCGGTGGCGGTGGTGGTGGTGGTGGTGGTGATGGCGTGCCCGCGCTGGTATCGCGCTGGACGACGTACAGGCTGCTTCGGCCGGGGGGCCGGCAAAGGCCGTGGTGGTGATGCGACGGCGAGGGTAGGGGAGGGGAGGGGATAAAGGGTGTTGGGGGCGCGCCAAAGTGCAGCGCGAGGCCTCAGTCGCGCGGGGGAGCGTAGAGGGTTGGTTGAAGGGTGTGGGCGGATATAGCGCGATGTGTTGTCGGACGAGGTGCTGTCGCATCCGGGGCCCACCAGCGCGCGGGCGGTGGAGCGAGACGAAAACGAGCAGCGCAGAGGAGAAGGAGGAGGAGGCTGCACGGGACGGACGGGGAGATGGGGGCGGAGAGGGAGGGGCGGATAGCAGTGTGTGCACGACTAGTCTCCTCCTACTACGGTACTGCTACTGCTACTACAATACTGTAGCGAGCGTCTCTTGTCTTCACCAGTTGAGGCCTGGGACGAAGTGCATCCAGCAGGAATAGGATCCAGGGGCCGGGGAATGGGTGCCAGGGAGGCGGGCGTTGCGTTGGTCGAGAGTTTACTGTTCTGGTGTGGTGAGAGATGATGGGCGCATGGCCTGGCTACGAGCTGATCGGCGGCCTGCTTCCTGCTTCCTGCTTCCACTCCTAAGGGGGGCCGTTTGGGTGTCGCGCAAGTGCCCAGGTGGAAAGCTGGGCTGTGGTGCTCACTGCTCACCACCTTTTGGCTGGCCAACTATGGCTGGGGGCGCGCTCCGAAGGCCACAAACCCGACTTCGCCCAAGCTTCACAGAAGAATATGCTTTGAAGTGGTAATTCACAAACTGAATAGAGTGCGCGATGCTGCGTCTTGCACGATATACTACTCTGCGTGCGTCTTGGTAGGAAGACGGGCAAGCGATGCAAGAGTGAATCGGCTTTTTGGCTGAATTTGGCAAGCAGCCGTGGATGTGTGGGCGAGGAAGAGGGGAGGAAGTACGGTTGGGTGTAGATGGAGTATGGAGTCTGGAGTACAGTATGTAGATGGCTATAACTACTATGCATGTGCCTACTCTAGACCGACCTGGCTACGACTACTACGACGACGACTACTACGACTACTACGACTACTACGACTACTACGACTACTACGACTACTACGACTACTACGACGACTACGACTACTACGACTACTACGACGACTACGACTACTACGACGACTACGACTACTACGACTACTACGACGACTACGACGACTACGACGACTACGACTACTACGACGACTACGACGACTACTACTCTACTCCTATCGTACCCGTACTCATCATTGCCTACTTGTAAAGTCGTCCTTCTTGCGCCCTGCTTGCTATATTGTCTGCCCAACCGTTCCCAATTGCCCCGCTGTCCACATCGAGGCGGGCCGAGGGTCACGTGTTGCGGAGGCTTGGCGGTCGCGCTAGTCGCCCAGCTTTAGACTTTTTCTTCCTTCACAGCTCGCCCTCAGGTCTCGTCCATTTTCTTTTCCTACACCTCCTCTCCCTTCATTCTCAACACACCTTCTCGACCACAAACAGCCACGGCAACACGTCTGCATGTCCACATATATATACACACACACACACTCACACACGCATACGCGCACATGCACCTGCACACCTCAACGCTGGCCCCTCTAGCCTACTGGCTGGCAATCGAGCATCACGAGAAGCTCGGTGGGGGCCAGTCCGGCTTCAGAGAGTAAGTCGCAAATCTAGCTGCACCCTTTCCATTCTGGAGTGATGACACACAATCTACTTCTTTTCCTAACCGATTCGACCTTGAAGAGACTATCATTCGGGTGCCTTTCGCAGGGCGCCTGCTACTTGCCAGTACTGTCGTCTGACCTCATCCTATGATTTCGATTAGATCCACGCCTAGTCGTAGCATGATGGCTAACCTCTCCAAAGTGTAGTTGCTTGTAGCCGAGCGCCTGACACTTGCTTGGCAGCCTTGTGATGGCTGATGGGTCTACACGGTGGTCGCATGGCGCCGCTTGCTACTACCCTCGCCTCCTTCTACCAGACGGGCGAGACGGCCAGTGAGGAAATCCATACCCGCGGGATGCTGCATTAGCCCATGCAGGGACCCGCCTCCTGCGCCTGAATACCACTGGGATCTGCTCATGGGCACACTTCTCAGCAAGGACAGGCGTTAGGCTTCAGAGGTGAGTTGTTGCCACCCTCTCGTATCTACCCTTGCCCTCACCCACCTTTCATGATGAAACATTCCTACATTCGCAGTTTCCACGCTAGCCATCAACCTGAACCTTAGACCGATGGACAATGAGCGCGAATACCTTCCTTGGATGTCTGATTTACTTGATCCACGATGCACACTGCATGGACTCGACGCTTGGTTTTCTTCTTGCTAACCGATTCGAATAGGTAGATGTTTTCGGTTTTGCCGACTATCCATCCCCTTCCAGTAAGTAGAGGATAGAGATTAGGTAGTTGTAGGTAGTGTTCCAGCACATTCGAATGAGTAGCAAACAACATGTTGCAAAACGCACAATGAGTCTTCAATCTTGAATGCATGCGTTGTAGTGTGTAGTGAGACTGGTTTATGTGCCTCTGATTTGTACATGCCAACCCTTTAGAACGAACTTTCTGTCTGCCATTGTCCCATGCGTGTCGACTTCCTCCGACTCGACTGGACTCGCAATACCAGGTCGTTGCCATCAAGATCCACTGCGCAAGACGTACGTAGGTCACATCGTCTACTACTATACTACTCCATCTCGCGCGGCGCAACCTGGAAAGATAGCAGGTGTGCAGTCGCACCGTGTGGTTGGCTTTCTTGTCTTGGCAAACCGTCATAGGCAATCCATCGACCCAAGGCATGGATGCACGCTAGTGGAGGCCGGGGGCTGAGAGCTCCAACCCACTTTCGACGGCCACCATCGTCGTCACCTGTCAACCCCGACCCGCGGCCTTAACGAGTTTCCTTTGGAGCGATTTTGCACATAGACGACCCACGTCGCTCACCACCGCCACGATGCCTGAAGTTGTCGACCCCCGCATGATCTCGGTGACGCCTAGGATACGGTACAACACCATCGGCGGCGTCAACGGCCCATTGGTCATTCTCGACAATGTGCGTACTCGTGGCAGCTCCATGTACTGCTGGCGCACCATGCTCATCACACTGCTGGACAGGTCAAGTTCCCGCGATACAACGAAATCGTCTCCCTGACGCTGCCCGATGGCACAGAGCGCTCTGGACAGGTGCTCGAAGCTCGAGGTAAGCCATGGCAGGCTGGGGAGGCAGCGCGCTGCATGAGCTAACATGGCCGACAGGAAACCGAGCTGTCGTTCAGGTACATGATGGCGAATACCCAACCGACAGACTCCCATTCTGATTTGCGACACAGGTTTTCGAAGGCACCTCTGGCATCGATGTCAAAAAGGTACACATGAAGATCTTCCCTTGGCTGCTGTTCCTACAAGGAAACACCCAACTGACCCCTCACAGACCAAAGTCGAGTTCACTGGCCACAGCTTGAAGCTTGGTGTCTCGGAAGACATGTTGGGCCGTATCTTCGATGGTTCAGGAAAGGCCATTGACAAGGGCCCCAAGGTGCTCGCAGAAGACTACCTCGACATCAACGGTAGTCCAATCAACCCCTACTCTCGAGTACAGGCCCGTCTGCCGAATGACCATGCTCAACAACTGACCGTCTGCAGGTCTATCCAGAAGAAATGATCTCGACCGGAATCTCGGCCATCGACACGATGAACTCGATCGCCCGTGGTCAGAAGATTCCCATTTTCTCCTCGTCTGGTCTCCCCCACAACGAAATCGCCGCGCAGATTTGCAGACAGGCTGGTTTGGTCGGCAAGCCATCCAAGGGTGTGCACGATGACCACGACGACAACTTCTCCATCGTCTTCGGTGCCATGGGTGTCAACCTGGAGACCAGCCGTTTCTTCACAAGAGATTTCGAGGAGAACGGCAGCATGGAACGTGTCACCCTGTTCCTGAACCTGGCCAATGACCCTACGTAAGTGGATACATCTACGAGCGAGCCGGGAGACCGGTGGCTGACTGTGGATAGGATCGAACGTATCATTACGCCCCGTCTTGCGCTCACTACCGCCGAGTATTACGCCTATCAGCTCGAGAAGCACGTCTTGGTCATTCTTACTGATCTTTCGTCGTACTGTGATGCGCTTCGTGAGGTCTCTGCCGCCCGTGAGGAAGTGCCCGGTCGCCGTGGATACCCTGGTTACATGTACACGGATTTGTCCACCATCTATGAACGAGCTGGTCGTGTCGAGGGCCGTAACGGATCGATTACCCAGATTCCCATCTTGACTATGCCTAATGACGGTGCGTAATAACAAAATATAGATACACAGGCACCATCTTAGACTAACACGGCGACAGACATCACCCATCCTATTCCCGACTTGACAGGTTACATTACAGAGGGTCAAATCTTCGTCGATCGTCAACTTTACAACAAGGGCATCTACCCACCGATCAACGTGCTGCCCTCGCTATCCCGTCTCATGAAGTCTGCTATTGGTGAGGGTCGCACGCGCAAGGACCACGGTGACGTATCTAATCAGCTTTACGCCAAATACGCCATCGGTCGTGACGCCGCTGCCATGAAGGCTGTCGTCGGTGAGGAAGCGCTGTCCTCGGAAGACAAACTATCTCTCGAGTTCCTCGAGAAGTTTGAACGCTCGTTCATTGCCCAGGGCGCGTACGAGTCCCGCTCCATCCACGAATCCCTCGACCTAGCTTGGTCGCTGCTGCGTATCTACCCCAAGGAATTGCTCAACCGCATTCCAGCAAAGGTCCTGGATCAGTACTACCAGAGGAGTCGGGGCGATGACAAGAAGAAGGCCAACAAGGACACGAGGGACAACTCGGGTGAGGGTCGACAGGCAGAGGACGAGAACTTGATTGATGTATGAATGCAGAGTGCTATAGAGAGGAACTTGACGTGTTTGCAAATAGATCGCTTGCTGTGGACTTGGTGTCACCGAGCGATGAGGGCTCTTGAGCGTAGATAATAAGTACATAGGAATCCGTCTCAAATGGCTTCGTAAAACAAGACTTGATGCCATGTATTTTGTATGTGGTCAGTGATTGTCTCCCACGGCACGCATAAAGTAGTGTACTATATACACAGTCAATGCTATCTTTCACAGCACGCAAAAGCTGGTGTGTTTTGTATACGCCCAGTGATTGTCTCCTACAGCACGCATAAAGCGGTGTACTATGTACATGGCCAACAGTGCCTCTCATAGGACGTACAATGTGCTGTATGGTGTGTATTGTGTACATGATTAGAGCTCCCGCTCACAAGACGCGTATGATCAGCATTCACCTAGATTTGAGCATCAATCCACATGTACAACCAAAGGACCACGGTCATATCAGAGGTGACGCCAGAATTTGTCTTCTACATGGAGACGAATTCCACCTTCACCTCGTCGTGTACATTGAAATGGCGGTAACAAATCGGCAGTCCTCTGCAATCTGCTCTGCTTCACCTTCACCTTCACCACGCGTGCTGGAACCAGCGCTGCACGGCTCGACTATATCCTTTGACCTGCTCCCTCTCTCTCTTTTTCTTTTTCCTTTTCTTCTTCAGTCTTCCTTGTTGTCTTCGTCGATGTCTTCATCGTCGTCTAATTAATTCCACCAGGAACAAGTAGCACCCACAACTGCACCACCAGTACCATCACCACCACCGCCGTCACTACCTCCATCACCATCATCGCCACCATAACCAAAACTACCACCACTACCACTATTGCCACAAGATGGATATCACACCGATGCTCAACGTCATTGAACCGCAGTAAGTCCCTCTTGCATTCTTGCTGCCTGTTGCTGGGGAGGAGTGGGTCCTGGGATACACTGGAGGGTATCTCGGAGGTACGTGTGAGGATTTGAGAGTATCATGAACGGAGGTGGAGATTGGCGACCCGACCCTGACATGCTGTCAAAACACTGTGGATTCCTGGTATACTGCGAGCTATCAGATCGGACCTCGAATCCCTACAAGAACTACTATCACCACGACTACGACTGCGTATAAACCTCGTTGCCTTGTCAAGCATTCGTAGCAATCTGGATATCCCTGGAGGTCAGTACAATACCTCGAGAGCTTGCTCGTTTAGCTGACGATTCTAGCGTATATGGCAAAGACCACATAGATCTCACACTCCCTTTGATCGAAGAAATCCACACGATCAAGTCAACGGCTCGCTGGTACATCTCGATTCTCGATCGTAAATTTCGAGATCTCGACTATGGTACTGTCAAAGTCCTACCTCCCTAAAACTCATGTCTTTAGGAGGTCCCACACTCGATGCCGCCGGAGTCGCGAGACCTAGTTGTCAGACGCTACGATAGGGATTCTTTGCATACCTATACACCCCTCGACTTAGTCTTCGGACATGAGAACAGCCCACGACAAGGGCACACCCACCATGACGGAGTAGAAGGCTGCCCCTCCATTACGACTCCATTGGTGTGGCCATGAAAGTGACTTAAGAACCTCTACTCTGTTACTGTACACAGGGCGTAGACTGTAGAATAGCTGATGACGCTAGCAGTGGTGGAAGAAATATACTAACAAAATCCTAGAGGCTTCACCCGACTGGAGAAGGCCGAGGGCGTCTGGGTCTACAGGCAGGTTGACGAAAAGACAAAGGTCACCTTCCAGGAGACCTTTGCGAACCTCGACTCGGCCTCCCTTGTAGGTCAGTTTGCCCTCGGCCGGTTTCCAGGGATGCCTGGATGGGCAACGGGAACCGATATAGTCATCGACAGGCCATGGCACCAGACCACGGCCCCCCACATCACCGTCTACATGCGGTACATCAAGCAAGATGCGTAAGTTTCGCCAATTAGCCTACAGTAGTCACGACAGTGGTCAGTAACGAGTTGTACTAACACGTGTAGCCACGCCGCTGTACATGTCGCCACAGCGCATATCTATGTGGACGGGTGGGAGGCCGTGGACTGGTTAGATAAGAGGGAGCGCTATGGCAAGATGAACGGCACGACTACATGGGCACTTTTTCCCGTGTGTATCTTATCTTGCTGGGTGGAAGACATTTTAGCAGTGCACTAACAGTTGCCTTTAGAAAAGTTGGGCACATGCCCCACCCTCGATACACAAGGTGCCAAGCTTGCTAGAGTGGCGCATCGAGAACCCAGGGCCGATGGTAAGATGACCAAAGTGTTGAATTCTTCTTTGACTAACTTGCTTCTTTTGCAGAATACTTGTCGGCCCTGGGATCCATTTCCAGAGCCGGAGGAGCAGGACTCGGTACAGGTGCCGGCCTTTGGCTTTCACGGGTTCCCCGCCCAACAATAGTGGCATCATTGGTATGTGAATAGATATTCCCCAGCATCCCCCACATCCTCTGTCTCAGTCCTTCAAACGGCTGCTCACCCGGCCGCGGGTTCATGGGATCCTTCCTGAAGTCGTGGAAGAGCACGCCGTAGACGACAATGAAGCTGATCATGCTCCACTGCACCACCTTGGTCCACCTGTCCCACTGTGGCCTGACAGACTTGGCCTTGATGCGCCGCTTGAACTTGCGCTCAAATCGGAATTGCTGCTTCTCCGTGAGCTCGCGGAGGTTGGGTGGCCATTTCTTTTTGACGCGGAAGCGATTGCGTGCAAAATTAAAGGGCGGCAGTGTGTTCTGGGTGCGCCCGAGCAGGCGGTTGATCAACTGCTGGAACATGGTGGGCCAAGTCTTGTCGTCGTCTAGCGATCTGCCGTCTTCTTTTCCTCTCCAGAGTTGGTTCGCAGTTGACAGACAAAATTCTCAATGGAGGCGGCTGGCTGGCAGAGAGAGATTCAAAGTGGTGGTTGTGGTCCGACAGTCACGTTCCTTCACGTTTCTTTACACGTCGAGGCTGATGGTTGATGTTTTGTGTTTTTTTTTGTTAACTGGTGCACTTTGACTGACGTTCAAGCAAACAGGCCGCACAGACCGCGCCGCTCCTCCCGCGGGTCTTGGCGTACGCACTTTCCTCATCCGCCCGCCTACGAAACTTTGACTCAGCAAACCCTAACACAAACCACAAACTTTGCCTTCTCTCCTTCTTTCCCCCCACTCCGCCGCTTCTTTTTCTCTCTTCTTCTTCTCACGTACGAAAATTATGGCGGAGGCGCTGGTAACACAAGACGCGCCGAAAAGCGCAGTCGCCGCAACATTAGAACTTCTTAAGCCGCAAGAAGCTGAATCAAAAACATTGAAGATTGAAAATACGGATAAGCGAGATACCTTGATCGAGGCCGAAAAACGCTACCAGAGAGCATGGGAAGAGCAAGGCGTTTTCAATCCGGACGCACCCTCGCTAGAGGAGGAGCCATTCGACACAACTTCACCTGACCAGCTGCACCAAAAACACCCCAAATGGTTTGGCTGTTTCGCATACCCTTACATGAATGGCACTCTTCATGCTGGTCATGGCTTCACTGCATCCAAGGTCGAGTTCACGGCCGGTTTTCGTAGGATGTTGGGCGAGCGCGCTCTCTTTCCGCTCGGATACCACGTGACGGGCATGCCCATCAAGGTCAGTGAGACTCGACTGTACAATGTCCGCCGAGCGTGAAATTAACATGTGCCAGGCATGCGCAGACAAGCTCATTCGAGAAGTCGAGATGTTTGGCCAAAACTTTGAACGATGTCCGGTAGAGGAGGTCATTGACACCAGCGTGCCAGAGCCGCCAGCACCCACCCAGGCCGAGACCAAGACCGACATCACCAAGTTCAAAGCTACCAAAGGCAAAGCCAACGCCAAGACCATCAAGACCAAGTACCAGTTCCAAATCATGCTGGCACAAGGAATTCCTCTCGAAGAAATCCACAAGTTCGCCGACCCATTCCACTGGATCGAATACTTCCCTCCCCTTGCGAAGCGTGACCTCACAGGCTTTGGCGCCCGCATAGATTGGCGAAGACAATTTGTTACGACTGATGCCAACCCGTACTACGATTCCTTTGTCGCATGGCAAATGCGCACTCTGCTCGACCTGAAGAAAATCATCTTCGCAAAGCGCTATACCGTCTACAGTCCCAAAGATGGACAAGCTTGCATGGACCACGACAGAGCTTCTGGTGAGGGTGTTGGTGTTCAACAGTACACAGCACTGAAGATGAAGGTCACCAAATGGGCAGACTCTGCGAAAGAAATCGCGAGCAAGATCCCTGAAGGTGCCAGCGCCTATTTCATCCCTGCTACGCTACGCCCAGAGACTATGTACGGGCAGACTTCATGCTTTGTCAGTCCTACGATACAGTACGGTCTTTTCAAGGTCACAGACACAGAGTACTTCGTGTGCAGTCAGCGATCAGCACGCAACATGTCCTACCAGCCAGGCATCTTCCCCGACTGGGGCGTACACCCAGAAATCATCAGCTTCTCCGGCAAGGACGTCATCGGCACAGTCGTCAATGCGCCGCTCTCCGTACACAAGGAGGTCTACATTCTGCCCATGGAAACGGTCAAGGACACAAAAGGAACCGCCGTCGTTACCTGTGTTCCTTCAGATTCACCCGACGACTATATCACTTCATTCGACCTGGCCAAGAAGGCAGAGTATTACGGCATTCAAAAGGAATGGGTCAAATTTGATGACATTCTGCCCATCATCGACACTCCCACGTACGGCAACCTGACCGCAAAAAAGCTGGTTGAGGAACTCAAGATTCAGTCGCCCAAGGACTCTGCTAAACTTGCAGATGCCAAAGACAAGGCATACAAGGAAGGATTCTACAAGGGCAAGATGATATACGGTGAGTTCAGCGGGAAGCCCGTTGAAGAGGCCAAAGAATTGTGTCGGAAATGGCTTATTGACAATGGCGACGCTTTCCCTTACGCTGAGCCAGATGGCAAGGTTATTAGTCGAAGTGGTGACGACTGTGTGGCAGCTCTGCTCGACCAATGGTACATGAACTACGGTACGGCGGCCAATGGCGGAGATGGAGACTGGGCTGAGCAAGTCCGATCACACATTGAGGGTGAACTCAACCTGTATTACCCGGAAGCCAAGAATCAGTTCTTACGTGTGGTCGACTGGCTGAGCATCTGGGCATGTGCTCGCTCATACGGTCTCGGGACAAAAGTACCGTGGGATCCATCAGTCATGGTGGAGAGTCTCTCGGATTCTACCATCTATCAGGCCTACTACTCGTTCGCTCATCTACTCCACAAGGACATGTTCGGCAAAGAGCCTGGTCCTCTAGGTATAACAGCTGATCAGCTCACTGACGATGTCTGGAATTATGTCTTCGCTCGCCGTGCACGCTCGGATCTACCTCAATCAGATATCCCCAAGAAGAGTCTCGAGACGCTGAGACGACACTTCGATTATTGGTACCCGCTTGATATGCGCTGCAGTGGCAAAGATCTCATTCAGAACCATCTGACCTTCCATCTGTACGGTCACGCTGCAATTTTTCCCAAGGAAAACTGGCCACGCAGTATTCGTGTCAATGGACATTTGTTGCTCAATGGTGACAAGATGAGCAAGTCTACCGGTAACTTCCTCACGATCGCTGGCGCTACCGAGAAGTTTGGTGCAGACGCTACACGTATGGCACTTGCAGATGCTGGTGATGAGATTACCGACGCCAATTTTGAAGAGACTGTCGCCAACGCCAACATCCTCAAGCTATTCGAGCTCCGCAAATGGTGTGAAGACTTGGTCAAAGAAGCCATCTACGTTCCCAATGCCGCTAGTTACGCCGAGAAGCGCTCAGCCGAGCGCATCAAGAATCCTGATGTCATTCAACGCCAAAGCGGTAGCGAGCGTTTCTTGTTTGATGACATGTTCGATAACGAGATGAACCTGCTAGTTGAAGAGACATACCAACACTACCAAGTCACATCTTACAAGCTCGCCCTGAAGTCCGGGTTCTACGACTTCACATCCGCACGTGACTTCTATCGCGAAGCGACAAAGGCCGCAGGTGTCGGTATGCACCAAGACCTCGTCAACAAGTTCATCGAACTCCAGGCTCTGCTCATCGCACCCATCGCACCCCATTGGTCAGAGTACATTTGGCTCGAGGTACTGAAGAAGGAAGAGACTATTCAAAAGGCACGCTGGCCCAAGGTCCCTGCAGCAAACTCATCTCTTACCGCTGCTCGCGAGTTTGTACGCACTACGCAAACAAACATCACTTCTGCGGAAGGCGCGGCCTTGAAGAAGCTGTCCAAGGGTAAAGCAGCAAATTTCGATCCCAAGAAGGAGAAGAAGATTACTATTTTCGCTGCGCAGGAGTGGCCAGCTTGGCAGGCTAAGTACGTAGCTCACCACACATGGGTGAATCAGAAGCTTGATACCAGGACAGAATGCTAACGTTCCACAAGATACATCGATCTGATCCGCACCTCTGAAACTCTCGATATCAAATCCATCTCAAAGTCGATCGACAAGTCGGAATCCAAGAAAGCCATGCCCTTTATCAACGCGCTCAAGCGTCGCATCGACAACGGCGAGCCCAAAGATGTGGTATTAAATCGCGAGCTCGGTTTCGATGAGCTGAGCACCTTACGCGCAATGGTCCCGGGACTCAAGCAGACGGTGCAGAAGTGCGTCGAGGTTGAGATTGTTCTGGTCAAGGACGGAGGCAAGGAAGGCGTCGTGATAAAAGAGGATGGTAGCGAGGGCGAGAAGAAGAGCGAATTATTGCCAGCGGCTGGTAGTGCAGAACCTGGAAGCCCAAGCTTCGCATTTGAAAATATTGAAGGACTGCCTATACGCTGAGCGTCGACGAACATGAATTACGAGGGCCGGTCTGGATTTGGGTTTGGGAATATGTCCGATGGCGCAATAATGGATGGGAGGCTGGACGCATGTCACGGCTATATATTACACGATGCCACTTTCGGGGCATCGATGAAACCGTAACGCGTCCATGTAGCTCACGATCACACACCACGACTCGATTGATACTTATGCATAGACAAGGGAAAGGAAACAAGAACAGATTTCATAAAAGATAGGCATGCCTTTTTCGGAAGTGATTGATGATGCCTTTCGTTCAGTAGGTAAGCTCAAGGATAGCTTTTAAACTCCCCTAGCCAACACTGCGGCTCTCTTCAGTCCCGACCCCGGCCTCACCTTTCCTTCAAACATACTCTCCACATCGCCATCAATTCCCTTCCTCGCCTTCTCAAACGCGCCCTCGATCTTCTCTCTGCCCTCTGGCCCCCAAAGCTCCAGCGCCCTCTCAAAGTCTCCACATGCAAACAGAAACTCGCCCAATGCCGTGTGCACGGTTCCAAGCGCATACCACGTCTGCGCCCTCTCCTGGTCGGAGAAGAAGGAGGATTTATTCGGCGGAATGAGTTCGACGGGCAGGGAATGAAACCAAGGGTTATGTGTTGGGGTCGGGGAATCCGTAGCCAAGGAGAGCGCAGACGAGATTGACTTCTCGGCTTGGAGGAGGTCTCGAGCTGCCGTCTTGACGTGGGATGGCGGGTCGGCCGCATTAAGCCAGTCGCGCGCTGTGGAGGTGGCGCGATGCATGAGAGAGAGCGATATGCCGACGCCGAGTTCTGTGCGCCAGCGGAGTCGCTGTATAGCTTTGTGGAAGGCGTCGCCGTCCTGGCTATGCAGAGCTTCAGCGTGGGTGAGGTAGCCGTAGGTCAGGGCGATGATGACGGCTTGTCCGTATTCCTTTGCCAGTTCGTCGTTGCCCTGTTCGCGCGCGGCGTCGGCAAGGTCGGCGAGCTCGCTGACGCTCTGGAGCCAGTTTTCTGCTTCGAAGTTGGGGGCCGTCATACATGTCGACAGGCCTTCTGCGTAGCGTGGGAGTAAGTTCTTTGGGTCTACGGTCACGCCGCCGATGTTTGTCAAGAGTCGGAATAGTTCGAGTAGATCGCCTTGTAGTCTGGATACTGGGTATGAGTAGGTGTGTAGGACGTTGATGAAGAGCGTGCGTGAAGGCGCCCAGGATGCAGCGGCGCGAGAGGCTTGGTCGATGAAATTGATCAGGCGAGGGAGGTATTGCGCAGGAAACATGACTATTGCACGCTTCATGCTCGAGTTTTTTTCCACAAGGGCAATTTCCATGGCGTGTTGCGTACTGCGTTCCATCATATCTGGGGGCGCGGTGTAGAAGAGTACGCCCGAGTCTTCGAGCATGGTTTTTGCATGCCTTGCATCCGAGGTGAAGATTTCGAAGCGGATGAACAGGTTCTTGGAGTAGAAGTAGGAAAGTGCATCTCGAGAGATTTCTTTGTTCAGGTAGAAGAGTGATGTATTCACTGGGAAGGGCGGACGTGAGGATTTGAAGGCGAGCATGCCAGAGGGGGACAGATTATGGGTGAAGGATACATTGGGCAATCCAACATTGGCGAGTTCAGTGTCGAGGGCATATTTGTAGATTGTATTGCGGACAGAGGGAGGCAAATCGGTGAGCGCGAGGGAGCGCCGCTTGGACTGAGGTGTTATCGTCGTGGATGCGAGTTTGGCCTCAATGTCAGGAATAGTGGCTTCCATGGAGTCACGCTTCGGCGTCGGTTCGGTTGTTGTTGCTGCCATGATTGCGTGGTTCCTAGTAACAGTCAGATTGCTGAATTCAAGCAAATGACTTCCTCGGCCATTGACTCACTAGATCGGACAATTCGTGAGGCTGGCGATTATGGTCGTGGATGGCCAGGTTTGATTCGCTGGACAGCTTCAATTGCACTTGGATACCCAATTCTGAGAACTCTGACCCTTCACGTCAATCAGGAAACAAACAACAGCCAAAGCAATAGTACACTCGAAGTATAAACAATGCGGGGTTTTATAGCTATTCCGCCGGCCTAGACGGGGGGGAGGTCTTCCTCTCGTGCGGGGGAGGGAGCTTGCATGTGGGGAGCTGACGCGGATCCGAACGTACCGCACCGTACTTGCACCACAGCCTTCATCGCCTATGTTATTCCCCTGCAGGCGAAAAGTGCGGGGTGAAAGATGGGCGATGGGCAAAGTCTCTTGGTTGCATGATAGGACACTGGCACAGTACATAGGTACGGTAAGCCCGCCTCCAATCGGCACGGGGCCTCCTCGAACCCAATCTCTCTCGACAAGATCTACTCGACGAAAGCAGTAAAGGCTTTAAAAGCCTCCGTCGCCTCGTACTCCAGCTTTACACCTGGTGCAATGAAGAAAATATATCCAGCACTAAGCTTGTACTCGCTCCCATCCGCCTTCAACCTGCCTTCACCCTCAGTCACGATCATGATGCTGGGCCCGCCCACCTCGGCGATTGCCTCTGACTCGCCATTGTCCAACGTCGTAGCATACAAGCTAAACTCGCTCAGCGGTGGCGCATAGAGTTTCGATCTACCCTGCTTGCTCTTGTCAAACTTTGTCGAAGGCAGCATCGCCTCTTTGGCGTCATGCGGCGTAAACGTGAGGGAGGAGCAGAACATATCGACAGAGTCACGGTCTGCGCGAGGACAGAATCCTGTGTTCAAAACGTTGTTAGACCGCGCCATACATTCGATAATGTCCCCAGAGAGGTATGCATGGATGCCATCTGCGGGGATATAGATGCTATCGCCTTCCTTGAGTTGAAGGTAGTTCATTGTGATGAGTGCGACCAAAGTACCGTTGTCCGCCTGGTCATACTGTTTCGAAAGACGAGGAATGAGGTCTGGGATGTAGGTATGGCTACCGAAGGAGTCCTTTGGTAACGCAAGCAGGGCGTCGTTGGTCTTGCGCACTGTATCCTCCGACGCACTCAACATCATCTTCACGACATGCTTCAGAGTCTGGTCATCAAAATCTGGCTTCTTGATCTCAGGCAGAAAGACCTTGAGTGGTGCGAGTTGCAATAGACTCTCAATCTCCTTCAAGGGCTTGAAACCCACAAAGGCTTCGAAGTCGCCAAGAGCCAGAGCAATCTCCGGTTTGTGGTTCGGGTCCGTGAATTGATCTGGCTTCTTTTGGTGTAACTCGGACGCTAAAGTTTTGTTCTAGAGAGCTCGTCAGTATGTACCTGGCAAGATGTCAGAGAAGCCTACTGGGTGCACTTGCAAAGGCAAGGCCTTCGCTATCGACAAGACCTTGGGGAGATATGGGAGCTTGGTGTGGCCGAACTTCTCAGCAATTTTCTTCCCAACAAGCTCATCCGGATACTTGTCGAGTACATCTTGGAGATCTTCGCCAGTTTCCAGGACATATGATGGGAGGTCTGGGTATGTGCCCATCCACCTATTGACATCAGAGTTGTCCGATTGATATCTTTGAGAAGACTCACATTTCGGCATAACTATTATTCTCATCGATTTTGAAGTCTGTGCCAGGTGTCTTCTCGCAAAGCCTTGCTGCGATGGAATCGCTACCCTTTTTGCCCCATGGGTACTGGTTGCAATTGCATTTGAGTTGAAGAACTTTCTGAACCATATTGGCGGTTGTTGCAGATTATTGAAGTATATTCTGACTGAATGCTAAGTATTTAACTGTGGAATACTCGAGGTGGGAAATGTGGTGATGATGTATGCATATCTGCAAAAATCGCATTGTGGTGACAATTCTTCGACGTCATAGCGGGTAACCTCAGCGTCAGGAAGTTTCCTACAATCTATCATTACAAATCCATCAGCGTGATTTCGGCCTGGATAGAACAATTTCAGCATCATTTAATGTGGCCTTTGTTATCTTCAGTACCTTCTTTGCTGTTTTTCGCGAGATGCTCTCCAGCAACCTCAACATCATGTCTTGGCGTCTTCGCCCGAAAGAGCCGTGCCGAAGTCTCTCTGGGAAATGGCCATTTCAATTGCGATATTGTTAGGGATTTGCTGCAAGGGAAAGCTGCTCAATGGCAAATCTTCGCAATGACCCCGACTGCTTATCGTATCTAATTCCTTCGTAGAATCAAAAGCTTTTGCGACGATTGGAGCAACGCGTTAGCAATGGCATATTGGCATAATCAAATTCCCTATTCGAGTACACATATAACTTTAATCTGTGCCAAATTATAGGCCACTTGTAGATTAATGTCTTTGATCGTATTAGTAGGTTGCTGATCGACGTGTCAAAGCAAGCGCCGACCGAAAGCATAATCTACTAATCCAATTAAAACCACAGAACATTAACTAGTGAACAATGGCATTCTGGGATCACGGTGTTCAACAGGGCAAAATAGAGCTTTGGTCACATGGGGCTATCATCATGGAGATCATGTTCGTGCTTCATTGCACAACCTCACAGGACGTGATGTTGAAGAGGCGTGAATGAAGGAGCACCCCACTAGGTCTGCCAAACTGAAAAGTGCTATGTGAACTCCACGCCAGCTAAAACCCAAATTGCACTGCGTTGTACTAAACATCTCATAAGATACACGTCAGAATATGTTTCACAAATTATATTGGGACGGTGATAAGGGATGATCGGAAAGCACGATGAAGACAGTAGACGCAGTAGGTGGGCTGTGGCCGACATCTTGCGAAAGTCCGGCTCCTTCACAGCTCCACTTTCGCTGCAAACGTTGTGTGTATATTGGCATCCAGCGGCTTCATCTACCCCAACGGCACCAACCGCAAGGGCAAATGGCTCAAGGAGGTGCCAGTCTGCAGGGTTGATACCGAGAACTTCTACGTCGAGGATGTGCAGAATTCGTGGTCGGCATGCTGCACGCAAGAGGAGCCAAGGGGCTTCGATAGCTTTGGAACTGTAGGGTTTAAGCAGTGGTGGTCGTTGACAGAGGGGGAGTAGGGAATCTCATACGTCAGTAGGAAATGCTCTATGCTGCCACCGCCCTGCAAAACCGCAGCTAGACAACACCCAAGAAAACGACATACACATGAATACTCGATCTGATATGAATATATAGGATTGATTTACGAGAAAAAAAGAGATCTGGCGAATGGCCAGACAGTCATTCTTCACATCATAAATCCCTATACCCTTGTACTTCTCAGCCTCTCAACCCAACCCAATCTCCTTCTCGCCAACAACATCATATACAGCATCCAGCACCTCACCCACGCCCTCGGAACGACCACTCCATACCTTCCTGGCGCCCATTTCGCAAATGCAGAGTCTATCAATCTGGACGTCTTGGGCCCAGAGGAAGTCTTGGTATTGGTGGATGAGGGGCCGGGCGTCGAAGCGGAGGGTTAGTTTGGGGTGGTTGGGTGTTGTGTTGGTGTGCGTGTTGGAGGGTGGCCCTGTATTTCCACTCGCATTCTCAATTCTGGGTGGGTTTTCGTTGGTATTCGCGCCTCTCGCTATATCCCCCTCTATCCTTTGAATCCCCCTCCCCTTGACATTTCTCCTGCCCAAAATCTCCTTCTTCGCGTAAATCGTGTTCACAAGCGTGACATGTAATCTCAGCTCCCGGTCCTCCTCCAGCAGAAACCCTTCCTTTGAAAACTTCTCTCGTACACTACGCGCAAATGCTTCTAATCGTCCAGTTTGATGTCCCTTGTCTCTAGCCTCGGCGTATAAAACGCTTGTTGATGAGGGCTTGTGCATGGCATGTAGACCTTGTAGATTTACAATGAGCGCATCTAGAGCCCTACTTCCAGTCTCGACAGCTTCATTGGCATTTGCAGCGTCATCGTGGGGAGTTGTTACAGCGCGTAGTATACCGTGCAAGTCTAGTTTCTGTAGATATGCGATTGCGGTTTGCAAGCTCGATGGGTCCAGGCTCATAACGCCGAGCGTGAGATGGAGTGTTGAAGGAGGCCGGACGGCGGAAGCTGGGATTGCGCAGGAGGTAGGGAGATGAGATTGCAGTGTGGATAGGGAGGTGCGTAGTTGGGGGAGGGAGGCGGGGGTTGTGATGGGGAGGCAGAGGAAGTGTGTTATGGGGGGTTTCTTCTGTGATCCTGCTCCTCCTCCTCCTCCTCCTCCTCCTCCTCCTCGTTTAGACCGAATGGGTTCTGAGATGGATTCCTGTTGGGTTCCTGCTGCACCGCCATGAGAGCGTGTAGACTGCACCAGTGGTGGAGAGATTTCTCGAGCCAGCGAAGTGGCGGATTGCAGTGTCTTTTTTACATCAGCATTGTCGAGGAGCTTTTCGCCATCGAGGAAGTCATTGTAGGTGTTGTTTGTTTTTTTCTTCTTGGCCATGACTACCTCTTCGTGATGGGAACTAGTGATGGGCCTTGTGATGCTGTGAGGGTGTCGAAGATTGCGAACGGCTTCGTATGGAGTGAACAGGGCGCTGAATCTGGTCTTGCAAACCCTCCAGCCTGTTTTTTGAAGATTCGTTGTTCGAAACAACATAAGAGCAAAGTGCATGCGTGAGCAAGCAACAAGTATGTACTAACACATGTCGTACCTAGGCACCGGTACGTACCTATCTTGAACTAGGTACAATATGCCTAAGAAATCGCCACACAGACATGGACAAAATACGCACCATCTCCAATATAAGCACGCCCAACTACTAATGCACAACCAATCGACCTACTTCCCACTCTCCCTTCACCCCTTTCTCACCCCTCTATATCCTCAGCTACCCTATAACCCCCCATTCCCTCATATCCCCAACCCCATACCTTTTCTCCCTATCGCGCGCTTCCCGCGCTCCCCACACCCTATCCCAGCCAATCAGCGCGCCCTGCTTCCGCCCTACCGCCCACTACATCCCGCGTGAGAAAATGACGTAATTGTAAGGAAGAGAGACGCGATGGCGGGGTCGCCTCGGAGAGCGAGGAAATCGGGCCTTTTTAGGTTACCCAACTCCAGCAGCGCAAGGCTGGAGGGAAAGTGTGCTATAGATAGTATAGAAAATTGTCGTAGGTCTGCGGAATGCAGCTAACATGGCGACTAGAGAGGGAAAGGGGAAAATCCCGCTACTTGGCGTCTGGTAGCGGTGCTGGCATAGATAGCAAGTCTATGTAGTGGAATCTCATAAAGAGGGAGGGAGCCACCAAGGACATGGCATAGGCACAAAGAGAAATCCAGGGAAGGGCAGTTTGACATGGATGGGGATGAGGCTTTGCATTCCAAAAGGCTTCTTCCTCCGGTCCCCCTCCAATCCTCTGCTACAAAGCTACCGAGCCACCAAACTCCGCCCGTGACGACATCTATGCGTAAATGTCCCAAGGGACGTGGAAGTGAATTGTCAAAGAGACGATAAGAAGAAAAGGTCGTGATGCTCAAAGTATGTTGTGTGGCAAGAGAGCAGGATGCTGGAGTCGCATGCTGTTCTTCGATGAGACAGGCAAGCCTCCATGCCGTCTTGTCTGCGCTTTACTGTCCATCCTCCCTGCACAAGAATACTCTCCCCCGTCGCATATCCATTGTGAATGCGAGAGGAGAGTCGGCAGGGCAGCGTCATCAAGACTCCTGGTCATGATAAAAGTCCCGCAGCACCTTTTCGACTTCTTTGAACTCCGTCTTGGCCTGCTCGATGATGTCCGCCAACTTTTCCTTGGCCACCTCCTCTGTGATGTCCTTTGTACCCGACTCGTCCTTGAGCTGGCCGTAGTGTTGTATCTTCTCGCACGAGTCTTTGACTTTGGTGAGGCCGAGGGTGGCCGAGGAGCCCTTGAGGAAGTGGCCCAGCTCACTGAGCTCCTTGAGTGCCTTCGCATCGCCGTCTTTGCTGTTGAGAGCTGCCCGTTAGCCAAGCTTGGTCCAGTGCAGACGACACAGAGGAGCAGTTGTGCGACTTGTCACCAGGCAAGTCGCGACAGCGCTGACACCGCAGAGCGCCCATGCGAGGCCACTACTTACAGCTCGCTATCCATCTTCTTGAACGTCGTGTCTGCCTGCCCAAAGAAGTCGTAGACGATGCTCTTGCTAAACTCGCGCTCTTCCTCGTCTTCGTCCATTTCGAGGATCTGCTCAAAGGTGGCGGGGTCGATGGTGTCCTCTGCACCAGGGATCGACATGATGTCGACGTTCTATCCGTCAGATTTTAGCAACAGTAGGATAAGATGAAACAATAGATAGGATGGAAGGCTCAGGTGGAATTAGGTGCATTGGGGTAGAGAGAGAGAGAGAGAGAGAGAGAGAGAGAGAGAGAGAGAGAGAGAGATTTCGGGGACATGGAAAGGTGGCGCGAGGTTCTACAGGAACAGGAAGCCAGATCGAGTAGAACAGCGCAAACAGAGCAGAATGGGCATGGACATGCGATGGGTGTTTGCGCGGGCGAGCAGAGGCGATGCTTGGAGGGGCAGGCAGGAACGACGACGCGGTGGGGAGGGGCGGCAACACGAACCTTGTCGTCGCTAACCGACATGGCTGCGACAATGCGAACAGCAACCTTGGGGTCGAAACAGAAGAAAGAAAGGAGAACAAGAGGATTCAGTCCCGCTGAGACAACTGCTCG